CTATGGCTACTTCACCATTAATATAATTGTATAATGAATCCTAGAGTATGGACTGTCGGCAAGCAGTGTCCAGAGATAACGTGTAGGCCATGCCTTCCTGATGGATTCTGACTCTCAACTGTAAAAATAAAATAATAATTGGAAGAATCCACATTGACTGATATGATACCAAGTGAAAGAACTTCATGATTACTATGTGGATCTGAACTCATCTACGATGGAAATGAATACCTGAATCCATAGTGCGGAGGCGGGTTGTGTAAGGTGACAAAGGAGGCTTTCTACCTCAAAGAAAACCGGTAAATGCAAGAGGAAGAAGAGTGAGGTGGAAGAATCAACAAGGCTGGCGGAGGCTACTACATACCATGGCGCAAAAGTCCCTTATTGTTCGTTTCTTGAGGTCTTCCATTATGAAACACAATTTCGTTGTATTGAGTCTGATAAAAGGTTTCCCCGCCACTCACATCAAAAATTGGCCCAGTAGTGAATGCGGCTTCGGGACTAGCAACAAAGCCGGACGTGTGCGCAATGTCCTCTGGCAATCCACAGCGCTTGGTATTTTGTTTCTGTATCACCCGGTCAAACAGAGGGTGGGAGAACACCTGCATTCCACACTTGGTCCATCCGAATCAACTCAGGCATCACAGCATTCACGGTCACACCAAGTCCAGCCTCAACCGAAGCTGCGTGAACCAATCCGATAATAGCAGCTTTGGATGCATCGTAGACACCAAGACCTAATTCTGGTTCCTCGAATGTATAGGAGGCAATATGAATGATTCGACCATATCCCTGCTTCCTCATGTGTGGAAGAACAGCACGGGTAAGGAAGAAGGAAGCGTCCACATTGACTGATATGGTGCGATGATCACCATGCATAAGTCGGGTCGCTACCCATTTACGGCAACAAGACAAGTACTGACATCAAACTTCTATTTTTGGGCCAGAAGGCCAATGCTTGAGCATTCAATTTTCCGATAACATACAGCCAAGGGCGCACCATAGCAGGTCTACTTGTGTTGAACTGGGTTTGAACCAGTCGCGAATTGTAGCTTTTTGAGCGTCTTACAAGCCAAGTGTAGCAAAGTATAGTAACCCCTCGAGCCATGCCGGAGTGAACACAGGTTCATGTATTTTCTGCCTTTCTTGATTTCACAAATATGCATGCCACCGTCTAAGCTCAGATGAATGGAGAGACAAGATGAGAATCGTACTGAGCAAGAATCAAGTTCAAATTCGCCATTTCGAAATCTGGCCTCATTCCCTACGCCTTCTTCAATGCTGCCGTGGCGGCGCTTAGCCTTTCTGCCATCGCCTTATTTTGCTTTTCAGTGAGATCCCGAACGACAGGTCGCGAATTCATTCTTTCCAACCAGGCCGCCATGTAAGGGAATTCACTCTCATCATATCCCTCATCGGATAGCATTTGCTTGGCACCGTTCTGCCACGAAACGAACGCTAGATCGGCAAATGATAGCTTGTTACCCACCAACCAGTCCTGCTTCGACAAAATGCCGTCTAGCACCTTAGACACCCGGCGGATCTCATTGATATAACGGTCGATGGCGCTCTGGACACGTTCAGGGTGGTAGCGCTTAAACCAGACGGCCTGGCCGTAGTAAGGACCCTGTCCGGACATTTGAAAGTGGAGGAACTGCCGGGCATGGTGTGCCTCGAAACTACCAGGCTCAAAACTAATGCGGCGATCCTTATCATACTCCTCAATCAGATATTCGATGATAGCACCAGACTCCCACAGGGTGATCCCTGTATTAGGGTCTTGGATAGTAGGCAGACGGCCATTGGGGTTCAGCGCTTCATAGGCGGGTGTTTTGATCTGGGTGAAGTCGGTCGGAATCTCTTCCACAGGCAGACCGAGTTCGTGGAGGATGATCGAGACCTTGAACGGATTGGGGCCGAAAGAACCTCCGTAGAGCTTGATGGGCTGCAATTGCTCGGTCATGGCGGTGGTTATAAATGATCGGGATCAAAAACGCGCCGGTAGTAGGGGCGGGCGATTCAAATTATCAAGTTAGGTGAAAACATGCGTTGAATGAACATGTACTGTCTGTCTCCTTTATATAATCTACCTTTCAGATATTGAGGTTCCAGCAACAATTTTGCCCCTCTGCAAAGTGTCTCCAGTCCGGCAATGGCTGAATAATTCTTTACTCTCCAAAGTGGATTCCTCCAGCATACAGAGTAGGTTGCTCGTACTTGTTACCAGTAGTTGGCGATATCGTGCCGCCTGGTTCCACCCTACCAATCTACTCGGGCGTCGTAGTTAGTTAGTTAGTTACTCTAAATCGGGTTGGATTAGTAAGTGATGTTTCAGTCGTGGAGATTGCTTCGGGGCTGAAATGTGCCGAGCTTAATAATGCACGACAGTCGGACATGATCGATCCGAGTTCCATCAGTTGTCGTAGAATGGGAGATGGCATCTCCGTTCTCCGTTTTCCACTGCTGCTGCTGTTCTGAGTTCCGACACTAGTATTAACGTTAGAGATAGGCTAAGCAGTGGAAGGCAGGGCGCACGGCAGCGCCAACACGGAGGCTGGTAGAAACCCCCTCTGAGAAGAAGACGCTGACGCTCTACAAGGGTATTCCCAAGGCGTACGCATCTGTGGTCATACAGATGCGCACGCAGAGAATTGGACTAGCACACTTCCTCTACAAGATCAAGGCGCAGGAGAGTGACTGATGCAGCTGCGGGGAGGGGTCCCAGATCTTTAAGCACGTACTTTTAGTATGCCCTCGCTTCACGGGGCTGCATAATCAGATGCTTGATAAGATTGCCGTATGAGGGTCCACTCCGAGGGATAAGATTACTGATTATAATTTTATTATATCAGACCCGCAGGCAATCTGCTATGTCGCCGAATTCATGCTTCAAACAGGCTTGCTCAGGTAGTTCAGTCAGGTCAAACTTGATTCTGACCCCGACCCGGGCCAGGAATACGTAGGCCTCAGGGCCATGGGGATAGATGCTGAAGATGCTGGGTAAAAGGAATAAATACGCCCTGTTTGAGTCAGTGGGGAAGGCACGCATACTAAAAGGAACACGCATGTTGGAAGCAGGGTTTGGACGAAGAACGAATGGGATGGTGACTTGCAGGCAGCGGCCAGGCAGCGGCCGGTCAGCTGCGACACCCGTTTATATCTATTTTGTATGGCTTTGCTTTGCTTTGTTGTAGTTAGTTGTGTTGAGCTATGATGATGACCTTCCTACGTCGTAGCATGCGTTGTTTTATGTGTTTACTGCGAGTTTGAGGGATTTGACGGTGTTCGGGATTATATTCCTGCTTTAAATGGTGAAGCACCTGCATAGTTAGCATCTTACTTAGCGGGCTTGATCAGGTATAAGAATATGAATTGAATTGAATTGAATAGTATTAACGTTAGTTGACCCTCTTCGGATAACTACCCGCTAAGAACACATTGATTCGTCCCCATGATTGATTAATCAGGGTCCCCTCTCAGTCTGACCGTTTTCTCAGAGCAATTCAGATTCTTTGCCGGTCGTTTGAATCGGCGGCAACTTAATATTTTATATATAAAAGTGGGGAAGCTCAAGACAACCTAATCAACACAGGCAGGTCGAGGTACGAGACTGATATCTAGGGATAGAGCGTCGAGATTGATATCTACCAACAGCGGAAGCTGCCGGTGTGATCGAAAATCCCCACACATCAGATCCATGATGAACGGGAAAAGAGAGAGTGAGAGACAGAGATAAGGGGTGACAAGTAGCAGATTGCAATGCGGCGCTTCTGGCAGTAAGATATACAATAAAGGAATAAAGCCCTCATAAAGAATCATACTAGCATCGAAAGAATGTTTTGCTCGGTGCTCTAACCTGTGTAGGTGTCTCTCCTTGCACTTGCGTCTCTTCTTTAACGTGTCCTTGTTAGAGTGGCCAACGGCCAGGTCAGGTTAATGGCAAAATCTATACCTGCCGTCAGATTAACGGTCTGGTTCAGAGAAATTTTCATGGTACAGCTAAAAGTAGACCAACTATCATTGATACCAAGATCTAGTATCTGGCATGAACCCTAACTATGTAAATTCTATTCTTAAAACCTGAATATATGATACGCATAGACATTCTAGCCAGATCTTAATAAGATATATATATATATATATATATATATATTAATAGTTATATTATTAAGAATCGTGATCTTGAACTCTTCAGTAGATTCTCTGTCTGGTATTATAAATGTCTGTTCTTTTTTTCAGGCCGTGGAGGCCCTGGTGTATACATTAGTTCATATAGATATTGTTGGTCATTTGGCTCGCTGCTTCTACTGCTATTTCTGTTATCACTTTCCCGGTGTCTGCTTGTAGTTTATGAATAGATTGACCTCCCGATTCAGCTCATTTCTTTGAGTGAAGGTAAGAGTGACGGAGCGATACACTGAATTGAGATTTAGGGAGATAAGGAAGCAAAGGCAAGAGCGGTGGAGAGGCGCGCTCGTAATGCGTGTAGCGATAATTGATTCCAACGGCTTCCCGAGGATCAAGGTAGAACGGTCAGGTAAGCGAAGCCTGGTTGGTTAGGTTAGATTGACATCATTGGTTGTCAAGAGTATGTCCACATGTAGTTTGGGATTATCTATGAAACAAGGAATAAGCATCCGAATGGAGCTTAATGTTTCTTTTTTAAAAAAAAAATTAGGAAAATGACGGGCACGCCGGCGTGATTAATGTGAATATATATACAATTTAAATGGGTCACATGACAAGCATGTGCTTAGGTGACAGTCACTTTTTCCAGTTATTTTTTCCCGGAGTAATTAGGGATCGCTCAGGGATTGTTCAGGACACGTACTTTGGTGCTTACCCCACGCTCCGGGCTGCTCTGGGAGTAGAAAGCGGCGCCAAGTTGGGCCTAAAGCGGAAATTAAAAGTGATTTGATTTCCTAGGGATCCAGTTCGGTAGTAATTGCAGCATCCCAACAAAGCTTGATAACAAGTGGCCTCCAAAGGCTTCCCATCTCATATTAGTTTGATTCTCCTATATGCAACAGATGATATTGACTGTCAGTGAACAGTTGATGACCACCTCCTCGCTAAACTGCACCCAGTCCAAGAAAATGAGATAATACAGGAGCAAGTTGTCTATATCACAAATAGTATGGATCCGCCGCTTGCGCCAGCCATAGTGCCGCTGAACTCCACGTATTCTTGGCCCCGTCACTTCCTGAAAAATGAAACCCACCAAAAAAGATAAAATGATACAAAAGGAGATAATGCAAGCGTAAATGGACGAGACCCAGATCTCAGCATGTCTGAGATCATCCAGTATTTACAAAACGTCCATCGAAAAGGGTCCCCGCCGTGCGTATTTGAACGATTTTCCCAGATCAGTATCCATTAAAAGGTAGTGCCGTATGGGCGGGGGGAAGGCTCCAAAATCCAGGCTGGTGATTTTGTTCAGCAGATGAAGTGGCCATTTGCTGGCTACCAAAGTAGTCAGGCATGCATGAAGCCTCGGCGGGATGGATATCCCTAGAGGCACAAGGTGCTCCGTTGGGTTCACTCCCTGACAACATCGGTGCAGCCATGTCTGTTGAGTATGTAGATAGGCCGCTCTCCAAGGAGCTCTTCCGACTGATGGAGGGGCTGGATACGGGCGAAGGAGGATAACAGTAGTCTTGATTGGCGGGGCGTTTTGCTTGGTGGTTCACCTCCATTGGTGGCAGGCGCCGTTCGTCGGAGGACACAGGCATATCAGTGTGCGATTTGTCCGTGGCGGCCTGTATTTCACTCTGGTCCCCTGGACTCTTGCTTCCCTCCGTCCCTTTGGGGGCATCTGGTTTGTTGTTCATAATCGGAAGCGACAGTTCGCGAGAGTTGTTAGTTGTCTGCTCCCGTATTTCAGCGAACAAGAAGTCCTCATCGAGATGGACATGCGAGACGTAGATCATTGTGTCCCCACCTATAGAAGATGGTTAGTCGCTTGGTATTGGGCTGTGGCTATAGTCCACAAAAATGTGGAAGCAGATGCATACTAATCTTTCCCTCCATGTATAATTCTTCCATATAGCGAACGTAGTAGATCTCGTCTAGAACCTGTAGACGGCTCTCGGGCTGAATCTGACGCCGCACGTCTTGTCCAGCGTCCTTGAGCTTCTCGGCAGTGATTCCTCGACTCTCCTTCAATTCGCACAGGATATGGACAAGCAGCCTGATTCTCTCTAGTGAGATTGATGGGACCAGTGAGTATTCAAATCTCATGATTCAACCGGATAGAGAGCAAGGACCATCTTACCAGCCTTTTGAAGATGGTCGGGTTCTTTGTGTGTCACCCCAGTAGGCCACCATTTCGGCTTAGTCAATTCGGAGTCCATCTTCTGTGATGAACCTCCAGCAGCTCGTCGTCCATTGTATGGATGATTGACCTGCTTGCGCGGTTCCACAAGTTTTACAAATGCCTTGGCAATAACCCTGCAGTTCAGCTGTTGAAATGCCTCGAATGCCTTCTCATAGTATCGTCGCACAAGATCCGTCTGCCCTAGCCGAATTGCTGTGCGCCGTAGCGACGGCGTGGGTGAAGCAGAATCTAAATCAAGCCCGATGCCCGAGAGTTCGTGTCTCAAGCTACGTCTGTGACGCTTGTTCTGCAATGATTGCCATTCACATGGAATGAGTCCGGCCTGTCGGGGGAGGCTTGGTTGATACCAGGCGTGCTGTAGGCCAAGTGAAGGACTGGACAGAAGCATTGGTTTTCCCGTGACATCGCCGTTCATGTGACTCAAGGTGTCTAATTCGGGCAGGAACGCGTCCTCGTTACTACTCCATCCTTGACTGGCTCGTTTTACATTCGCCGAGTCACTTACTGGAATGGAGACTCTGCAGGCTGGGTTGCCATGCTGTAGTCACTGACTTCAGAAATCGATCCTGCACGTCGTCCGTGAAGATCGCCTTTTCGCAGCCTGCAATGGACGGTGACGCTTCTATGCGAAGGTCGCCATTGTGGTCAATGCAAAGCATCGCGAAGTGCGTATAACGGAAGTTGACTGCGGATGATGCACGTTGCATTTCCTACCATGACGTGACATCAGTCGGATGATCCATCCTAGTTCAGACTGGGGAGCTTGTCCATACCGTGTGGCTCGCCTGAGCAGTCATATCGTGATATGATAACATCTGATGCTGGGCTTTATTAGCTTTCGTGGACTGACCTATCTCGCAATGGTAGCACGGACCGGACTTGTCATACTCTCTACTATAGGAAGTCAGTGTCGAGCCCGAGTTGCCTATGCTCACTCTTTGCCGACTACCGACGATGATAATGGAATGAATAGATAAATTCAGATACTGCCACCTCACATCAATATTTAAGGAAGCCAATGGGGAGATGGCAGCTTAAGAAGTTTCGTGTGCATGATCTTCAAGGCTCGGGCAACGGCCTATATAGGTCTGGAACTACCAAATTTAACATGCCGAGGGAAAAAGAAACAAATTCATTCGGCGTTGATTACCGAAGGGCAATTACATATGTGGACAAAAGTACGTTGGTCAACATTCGGCCATTGGATCATGTCAGAAGTGTTCAACGCGACCTTCTGGCACTTATGACGTGCAAACTAATGCAAGGAAAACAAATACATACAGAGTCTGACCATTAACTGTTACGGACGACGCTCTATCATCTGGTCTGTTTCCGTTGCCATGCGTGCATGGAGCCTAGCCATGCATCTCCCTTTGGTCTTTCCCGTTTGAGGCTTACGTCTGGCTGCCTTAGCCCCATCGCCTACGGAGCAGAAAATCTGTGTATGTAATGAGGGCTCGAGCGATACAGTGGCAAATGCTTATTCATTACAAACATGACTGAAGAGCCACAGGTATTATGACACTCGTACTCGTCCTAGTATTCTTTACGTGGTTGTAATCAGTGTCGCAAACAAAAGTGTCATGACCAACAGATAGGCCACTTCTCTGTGCAAGGGTAAAGATAGGCCCAAGTCTAGAGGGGAATTAGGCGAATAGGTGCACTCCAAGCGTCGACCGACTCCACTAAAATCTCAGGTCAAGGTCATTGGGTTCCGAAACATAGTGACGGCCATGCAATTCAGGGATCATGCATTTACGCTCGGCCTGGTTAATTTTCGTCATGTACATGACAGACTAGAACTCCCTTGGCCGACAAGCTAATTCAGGGAATAGACTCATCTCAGTTCACCAATCACAGGCGTCTCTGGGGTACAGTAGGTTGGTATATTTGTTTTGACGCAATAGCGCAGGCTAGCTGATACACGATAGCTACCTTCGGGATTTGCAGGAGCCAATACACCGTAATAGATAAAGGCAAAAATCACATGGCAGTGGAAATACCCGGAAGCTACCATTGAAGAGATATCATAGGCCAATGCAAACACTTGCTAGCCTCTCATAGTGCTACGGCGAGCCGTGAATATGGTGTCGGCTTCGCTTCTTCCTGTCATGCCCAGAGCCCGCAGGTCAGACTGAACTCTGAGTGACAGCTAGATTGGGTTGCTTAAGTGAAGCCTAGCCACAAGAAGACTAGGATCGGCGTTCCACCAGTGGGAATAATTCCTTTGTTAAAGTCCTCACGATTAGACTTTGCTGATACTGCCTCTCTCGCAGTCAGTGCGGAAATTGCGGAGTTTGGGCGTAAGACCCCAAGAACCACCCCTAGAGCCTGACCGCCGATCGCAGCCATACTCTGTCAAGTGCCAACGGCAGCCATATTAAATTCTCATTTAAGGTTCAACTGTATCGCGTTGGAGTGGAGAATCGATCAGAGAGTGTCCTGGCTGCCGCACTATGAAGCCAATACAACTCTACAATCCTTCGGTCTCGCGAACAGTGCCCAGTCCAAGCGGAGGGATTTTGCGCAAATACTGTAGGACCTAGGGAAATACGTACCCTTTGGTTGTTTGGGAGGGGGTATTGTGCTATGCCCCAGACGGATAAGACATCCATCACGGACGATTGGGTCCGGTATCTCCCATTACTTGCGGAGCCTGCGTCAAGAACGGCTAGGCAGAAAAAGTCAAGTATTACAGCACACGGGCCCCTTGGCTATCGTCTCGCGATTTTGACCAGCCTGGCAAGCCACGGTGGACCGATGATCCACAGAATGTTTGCGTGGAACGCTAGTCACTAGTTGGACGGGGACTATCCTGTAGGTCACCTATCGAGCATCGAAAACACACCCACTGACAGATAGAGAAGAAAAAGGGGAAAGAGCATGGGGATCCATACCCATTAGCACAGTGCGTAGGGGGAACATCCCCTCTAAAGTTCTTCTTCAGCTCCTTCCAGTCTCTCAATTTTAGCTTCCCGAACCTTGACTATTAGGGCCCTTGTAGGAAACATGCAGACGGTGAGACATCCGCCTACGTACATCGTCCTGCAAACTTGCTTTCTTACCAGGAAACCCTGCATATGGCGATGGCTTGCATACTTCAGCCCGAGTGAACCATGACTACGGAGTAGAGAGGGCAAGACGATGGGCAGCGAAGCAGAGCATGCCTCACGCTAGGAAAATCCGCCATGCCCTGCCTGGCGACAACAACTCTTCTTCTGGTTAACTACTACTGCCCCAAGGAGACCTGACCAGACAGAAGACATTGCTGCAATCGATCCTTGGAATATTAATTAAAGGCTAGGTCAGAGTCCGAGCACTTGCATGAATCGATCCATCAGGCGAGTCCTGGAACTCCGAGGAAGTGGGATAGCCGTCCGTCGCGCCACCCCTCAGCCCGGCTAATTGGGCCGTGGCTTGGGGGAAGCTACGTATCAACCCGCTAACGCAGATCATTGACTAGCTGTACACCGATTATTCGATCAATAGAATTCAAAATCTGTCACGGCCGGAGACATGGTGCAACCGACCATTCTTTTCCCAATCAAGGTTACATCTGTCTCGCCATGGGTCGACAGGTCTCCCGCAAACGCCGTACCGAGAGAGTTGCCATCATCCACTTTGTTTATTTTTAACAAACCGAGAACTATTTTGCTCTGAGTTTCCGTCTCTGGAAGATATCCTCCGAAGAAATCGATGCTTGCTAAATTTCAAAACGCCCTTTCCGGCTGGAAAATCATGGTTGCCACACATGAGGCAAATCCGCGAGTCTCAGATGATTCCCACGTACTCCGCATCAGTACGGTGCAGGCTCGGGGTTGAGATTTCCTCATCTGAAAGCGGCAGCTGGGGCTGATCACCAAGCAGGAGTGATAATTCGGCTTCTTTTACCGTATTGCTTGGAGCATAGCGATGAAGCCGCCAATATTTTGAATGGGAACTACTGTGTGCTTCACCAAATGCCCAAGCTTGAGCTACACATCCGCATCTAGAGAAAAGCTAAATAACTCTGGAACTTTATAGTATATTGTAATTACCAAACCCAGTTTTCCTCTTCTGTTCTGAGCACTACATGTACTATCAGGGTCTAACAAGGTTCAGGCTGGCCATCCTTTCCACGGCTGCTAACCGCGTGGGAGCCGCATCATGAATGATACGGAGGCCAGGGTTCCGCGGACAGATACCCTCTACCATGCATACCATTTTGTTATAGCTCTTCGGCCCACGCCAGATGACCTTTCACAGACTGAGGATTGCAGCGCTGGAGTAGGGGATCTCGATCTCCACAACCCCATCGTCGCCCACCGAGATCGCCTCTCCAGTAGTTACGTTCTGCAATCGAACTGGCTTACCCTGCGCCAGCTCGTAATTGTAAGACCAGCCGTCCCAGGTGATCCCCGTGATGGCGTTGCTGCCGTTCGCCATCAGCCGCTGCACTGAAACCGAGCCGGCGTACACCGATTCAGATGAAGGCAACTGGAACGTATACTTCGCACTGGGTCTGCTCTCCACTTTCTCCGCTGTCGAATCAGTTGAGGTGTAGTTGAACTCCACCAAGTTGATGACAGCCACTCGGACCAGAGTCTCATTCACATACGCGGCGTATGCGGCTTCTGTATCCGCGGCCAGCGGGAGATTGACAATTCGGACATCGTCTCCGCCGTGGAGCATGGCCGCCACCATGGCATTGCCGTAATACGGCGCCTTCGTGCCTATGGTTGTACGATTGGTTCCCACTGGCTGCCAGGAGATGTAATTGTAATTACTTCCCTGATGCATATGGGTCCGACGGATGTTCTGCGAGGCGCAGTAAAGGTTGAAGTCTACCCCCCAAAGCGCAGCTCCGAATGAATTGGACAGTCCAGGCGCGCCCTCGTTATACAAGGAGTTGGTCTCGCCCAGAATATAGGGTATGCCCGGGGTCAGGTTGTCCTTCGACAAGATACGTGAGACGTTGACCTGTTGTGCGACGCTTTCCACCGTCTTAGTATGGTTCATTAGCGTATTCTGCAGTGTTACTCCCGGCTGAGTGGCGCCACCGATGTAGCTGCATCAAACGCGACCTATTAGCCAAAGCCGACCTGTGCTCCATCCTTTCGCATTCAGAGTACAACTGGGGCTGGGGGGTTGGGAGGCTTGGCCACCACCAAACTCACTTGTGCTCGGAATTGAGGGCAATGTTCCGGCTCTTGTCTAGGCCTTTCTCCCACGTCACCACAGGATTCAAGCTGTTAGTGACTCCGGCGAATGAAGGCGCAATATACTTTGACTCTGCAAGCTCAGGGCACGCCTCGACCAATCTCTTCTCGATCCGCGCCGTCTTGTTCAACCACTCATCCACATAATCTTGTTCCGTCCAGCTTGCCGGTCTCCTGATGCCCTGTGCGGACGTCTTGTACAAATCCGGCTCATTCCCCAGTTCCCAATACGCCAATTTGCCCCCTTCCAAAGCCTTACACGCTAGCGGCACGGACTCTAGCATGAGCTCTATATCCGACGAGCTATTCTTTCCCAGATTAAACCCGTGGATGAACTTTGTTCCTGGCCAGGTGAAGTACGACTCGAAGAAGGCGGGACCGAATGATAGAATCAGCGGGTAATCCGTCGAAATGCTGGTAATGTATGTGGCATTTGTGGCTGCTCGTAGCTTTGGATCATACAGCGCAAAGTCTCTGCGTGATTTAATTAGATCCTTACCCCTCCTTCCCCTCTTTGCCTTGACGGGGAAACAGAATCGAGGATGGCGTAGTTGATACGTACTGAGTGTTGCCTCCAACCCGGATGTACGGCTTTGCGCCCTGCAAGTCGGCCAGGTTGTCTAGTAACTGATTCGAGAAGAGATTCGGGTGTGACAGGTTTCCTGTGATTTCAATTGATCATATTAATATATAAATATAACCCACACAGTTCCCCCACCAACTACACTCAGACTGCATAGCATAGTAGTGGTATAATTATACTGCCATACTATTGAAGTAGAGAATTAGGAGAGATTGATAAATACCTGCAAAATCTGGAAAGAACGCAAACTCAATAGAAAACGAAACAAAAGGATGCAGAACCGGCAAAGCCGCATCATCTGGAACCGATGCACTCACACCGATTGATGATGAGCTGCGTCTTTCATCATGAGCGGTCGGATGAGCTGCGATGCTCTGTGCAGCTCCAAGTAGGAGAGATAGTAATGTGATTGGATGATGATGCATTTCCGTAATGCTCTATACCAGCAATAGAGATTCTTGCTTATTGGTGATTTCAATCGTTCAGTTAGTAGTATGTAGTAACTTCTGAGGGATATATATGTATAGATATATATTTTATATCCTCATTGACTCTTCGTAGGATTCCTCGAAAACACCCTCAGTAAATAGCACCTCCTAACTACAGTGCCCCCATAGTATTTATTAAATTAAATCAACACTACTTTAACCGGCGGGGTTGACTATCATAGCACCACCCCCGAAGGAGCCTTGATGAATTGAAACCATCCATTGGAGGGTAATTGGCGGCGCGGGGGAATTCCTCCCGAATGTGCGGGGATGAGAGACAAATGTAACTGGAACTGCTACTGTTTGCTATTTAGTAGATGCAGATCTATTCCTTTTTTCTCATTGCTTTGCTTGTTTGCTCTCTAGAAGTCGGGTAATAGTTCGGTAGACGGGTAATAAGGGTTCATTTGGTGTGAGGGGATAAATGAACAAGATGGAGTTGCTCGGGAAGTACATGCATAGAAGTAAAGCAAGCAAGCAAACACGCAATTAAGTAACCATTGCATCAGTTTATTCGGAAATGTCAAAGACAGCTTCTGAAAGGCTTGAGCATAGTGGTATCTAACATTCATAGTCGATCTGACTTTTGCTGCACAAGTAGTCTCTCATTAACTACCAAGAACACCTGAGCAAACTCTTCAGGCCAATTCAGATGATTCCCTCCTATGGACCCTCCGATCCACAGGTGTATTTACTCTCCAAGCATGTTGCGTTCCCTTTTCTCTTCTGACAACATCTCGGTACAGCTAATCACTTTTCCCCGATATAGTCAGCCGGATGTACACCAAACAACAGCCATGTATTCGCATACACGCCCCTATTATCTTCAATCTCAATAATGTTAATCTGCAATGCCTCGGGGTTGTAACAAGGTGGTCTAATGTTACTTCGTAGTAGTCATTCATTCTAGTAAGCTATTATCAGCCATAGTGACAGAAGAAACAATTTCCTCCTTTAGTTGGTATAACTTACCTCTCCGGAAACATTCCCATCATCCAACCCAAATACTCATCTCGCACGACAAGATCACGAGGTACGTCTTCCAGACAAGCTTCGTGCCCGTAGATCGGTTTATAAGCCAATCGTGCTAGCTCCGGGCCTGCTAATTGCGGGAACGGTCGGTGCAGATGACTCAGATGCCATGGTACATGTGGTAGGAGCCTTGGTATGGCGATTAGGAGCCCTTCGATCTGGATTCTGAGTGGCTGGTCAGGTGGTAGTGCCTCTGCTGGAGTTGAATGTTATATCAATCTATACAATATCCTCTTTGTCCTCATGCATGCGGGAAGGAGATTGTCGATGTTGTTTGTCCCTTCAATTCCTTATTCATTTGACCCTGGGTTCTGGCGTTACGCGCTGAATGGGCGTGCTGGGCAAGGCTGGGAATTATTAGTATTACTACAAGGCTGAAGACTATCATTAACCGCAGCTGTATACCCGCAGACCTCTACATATATGCCCAGGTACACCAGTAAAAGTTGGGTTTACTACTAGTACCGTTTTGATGAGAATGTATGTAGCTGTTCAACGACTCAGTAAGGAAGCAAATAATCATCGCATTAATCCGTAAACAGTTCGACTAAAGAGAAAGAAAAGCATGCTGCCCATCAAGCCATCGTCAGATAATCTACATAACACCGAAGGAAGAAAAAGAAACAGCCTTTCAGTCGTTTAGTTATATTTACGAAGCTGTTGAAGAACTGTTAGTATCCCTGTGACTTCAAACGAAGAATAAAAAGTGAAGGGTCTTACATCAAGGGTCAAGGATTTGCTGCTGTTCTCTACCTGGTCCCGGTAAATTCCAACCAGCGCTTCACTGTTCTGGAAGAGCCCGTTCTTCAGACTGATCACGATGAACTGCATGCCTGGCGCCGCGTGGTCGTGGATGTAGTTGGCGATCCGGGCAACGTTGGTGTTGTCCAGCGCCGCATCGACCTCGTCCAGCACGAAGAACGGCGATGGCTGGTAAGAGTGGATGGCGAATAGCAGGGCCAGGGCAGCCATGGTTTTCTCACCACCGGAAAGGTGCTCCATGTCGCGGAATCGCTTGAGAGGGGGCATGGCATGGTATTTGATACCGTCGAGGTACGGCTCGTCGGAGTCCTCGATGTCGAGATAGCTGTATCGTTGTTAATTTGCTGATGCTTCGACATGGGAACCGTAGAGAACCACTTACGCTTGTCCACCTAGCGGGTAGTTGGTGCTCTTGGTCAGCTCACGATAGATGGGGCCAATTTGCTCGGAGATGTGAGAGAAGGCTTTGTTAAAGAGGTCGGAACGCTTGTGCATCACATCCTCAAAGTCATCCTTGGTCCTTCGAGCATGCTTGCGGGAGTCCTCAAAGTCCTTCTCCGTCGCCTTAAGCTTGTTCTCCACGCTCTCAAGACGCTCCATAGCGCGCGTGTTGGGTGCCATCTTGTCGAGCTCACTGTTGAGGGACCGAACCTTCTCAAGCAGCTCCTCTTCTAACTTCTCGTCGCTCTCCTGTTGACAGTCAGCAAATATGTCAAAAGTCCGAAACGGAATAGCTCACCTCCTTCAGAGTTTCTCCCAGGGAGTCAAAGTCGACTTCAATGCCGTAGTCTTGCACCATGAACGCTTGACCACCGCTTCCAGCGCCATCTTCGTCCACATCCATGGCGTCGGGGTCTGCCGCCTGAACCAGTTCATCGATAGGAAGTTGGTCAAGCGGATTCGAATCCTCGGTCAATGGAATGTCAATGTCTTCAAGCTTGCAACGCCGGAGTAGAGCGTATCGACTAGACGAATTGCGTTGTATTTCCGCCTCCAGGGCATTGATGTTCTTGATCGTCCCTTCGACTTCTCTGCTACGTTTCTGGAGCTCCCGGCGGTGTTGTGCAAGGTTCTCGGCTGACTGCGCGTAAGCCTCCTTTTGCTTCTCGAGTTTCTCACGCAAAATGTCAAGTTCGGCTTCGAATTCATCCAATTGGTTTCGGATGCTCTCTTGCTCAGCCTGAAGCTCCTCGGTTAACTGCTCGTCACGTTGCTGTTGTGCCTGAAGCCCAGCAACACGGTCAGCCGTTGCCTGAAGGCGCTGCTTTTCGAAGCTAAGCTGGTTTTCGATTCTGCTCTTTTGTGTGGTGAACTCGAGCTTCTTCTGAGCAGCCTCCTCCTGCAAAGAGCCTTGTTGAACTTCATATTCGCGGATATTACTATATTCCGAGACGCTTGCAGAACTTCTTGTATACCTCATCCTCCACACTGCTGACAGTCTCTTGAGAAGTAGCAATTGTTTGATCAAGCTCTTCAAGCAATTCTTGACGCTCAACATACTTTGGTCTTACATCCTCAAGCTGGCGCTTCACAAAGTCAAGTTCACTGTGCTTGCTTTCGAGGTTTCTCTCTAGGGCCTTCAGTTCGTCGCGAGCGTAAGCGAGCCGTTGCTCGAGACCAACCAATTCACCCTGCAAGGTTTCCTCCTCGGTTCCTCGGCGATGACCCTTGGGCAGGTTACCCAAGTCCGCCATCAACTTGTCCTTGAGCTTGTACAAGTTTTCGACCTCGGAGTCCTCCCAGCGCTTCGAGTTCTGCTGAGGGCCGCGACCACCAGTCATCAGACCACCCTTGTGAATCACTGTCCCATCAAGAGTGACCGCCTTCGCATCGACATTCCTGTCGTAGCAAAGATACTTGGCGGTAGCCAAATCGTCACAGACAATGGCGTTGCCGCAAGCGTAGCTGATGGCTCTGGCAACCGAGTCGTCATAGTCAACGGTCTCGATCGCTGGGCGCATTCCTCTGTGCAGACCTTTCAGGTTGGAGTTGAAGGCCTTAACTTGAATCGTTTCCAGAGGAATGAATGTCGCCTGTCCAGCTCTTTGGTCGCGAAGGTGCTGGATACACTCCTTCGCTGTCTTCTCGTTGTCCACAACGATGGCGTCAAAGTGCCGCCCAAGTACGATGCTGACTGCATCGGAGTATTTCTTCTGTTTAGGCTTGCAAAGGTCGCTTACACGGCCTTTGACGCCCGGGAAGATCCGCTTGAGAGTCGAAATCAGTTCCTTGGCTCTTATTTCCTTCTCGGACTGCTTCTTGCCATCATCTGCCTCGAGAAGCTTCTTCAACACAACTTGGAGCTTCTCCTCAAGCTCCGTTCTCATCTGAGAGACGCGTAGCCGTTCAGACGTTAGAGCATTCAGCTCCTTCTTCTTGCGCTCGATTTCTTTCGACGTGGACTTGACGGTATCAGTGACAGACGACTTGCGCTCGGACAATGTTTGCGTCTCGGACTCCAGAGTCTTGAGCTGCCACTCGGTGCCTTCAAACTTGCTCTTCAGGCTGTTGTAGGCCTCCGCTTCAGTCTTCCGCTGACGACGCAGATTGTCGAGGTTCAGCTGTTCCGCGGAAGATTTCTTGTTGACCTCCTCCCTGAGCCGCTTGTACTCTTGTTGGTCGGCTTCGCTCAATTGACCACCTTGTTTGCTCATGGTCTTCTGCCACTCGGCCTCCCACTGAGCTTGAGCCTTCTCGACAACCTTGAGATCCTTCTCGAGCTGCTTGGCATTCGTCGCTTGACCCTCGCGCTCCCGAGTAATCTCAGCAATCCGAGAGGTGAAGCGCTCGACCTTCTTTCTCGTAATATCGACCTTCTCATCCACAGGTACCAGGGCATTCGTAGCCTCCTCGATCTCTTTCTCTTTGGCCACGATGTTCTTCTCGGCCTTTGCAACATCTCGTCCAACCCGAGCATGATCCTTCTTAGCATCCTCCACATTCTTCTCGTATTTCTCAACGCCGCGGCGGAACTCCTTTAGTTCATCCTGGTATTTCTGGATATCCGCACTCGACGCATCAATAAGGCGCTGGAAGTGGAAAAGCTTCCACAGAATATGCGTGATAATGGCCTGATCGCGTTCCTCGGCCTTCCGGGCGTAGTTCTCGGCTTCTCGCTTCTGCTCTTGGTATTGCTTGATTTCCGAATTGATACCTCTGCGACGGTTCAACTGCACGGTCTGCTGCTCTGCGGCCTCCTCCGCCTCCGCCTTCAAGCGTTCGTATTCGGCCTTGTATTCCAAACTTCCCGAAATCTGCTCGATCAGCCGCGTCAGATCCTTTGGCGACTGCGAGGCAATGGCCTCCACATCACCCTGGAAAACCAGGAAGTTGCGGGCCTTGATCAGGATGTTCTCCGCCTCGAGAGCCTCGTTGTACTGCTGTGCCGTGACAATGCGATTGTTGATGCGGTATTCGCTAACACCCCCGCTGGTAATGGACCGGCGCCATTGCTGTTCCTCACCCGCATCGTCCTCGTAAACTGCCATGACCCACGCGGTTCGGGGGTCATTCTTTCCGCTTGGATCCTGTGACTGTTCACCATCAATTCCGTCCTCCGCTTGGTCATCCCCGTTGGCCTCCGCTTCGATGGCGTTGCCGCTTGCATCAACTTTTGACGTGCGCAGGACACGGCCCCGGTATACGAGATCGCGAAGGTTCGTGGATCGTAGGTGGGACGACTTGATACCTAAAACGAACGAAATCGCGTCCATACTGGAAAAGGTCAGCGCAATGTACTTTTCTTCGCTTGGGTTCCCTTTCTCCGCGACATAGGGTAAAATGATACGCACGAGTTGGACTTTCCGGACCCGTTGGGTCCGATGATGGAGGTGAAGTAGGCATCACCAAAAAGAAGCACATGGTGACCCTTGTACGATTTAAAGTCTAGAGCAGGTGTCAGTGCGGTTGAGAGTGCCCGACGGAGGACGTCGCTTACTGAACAGCTCAAGCCGGATGAGCTTTCCCATCTTGCGACAGACAGCCGCGTTTCAGCGACTGCGGGAATGGGGATACAAATCGCAAATGAAAGTTGGTTGGAACCGGTGAAGGTCGCCTGGAGGATAAGGCGGCAGGCTGGAACAGCCCACAAGAGAGGGTCGAGTTTGTGGAGGGGCTCGCGCAATGGTTTATCGTCGGAGTCGCGTCTTGATTGATTGATTGATTGATGGGGGGACGCGCTGCGGAGGGTCACGTGGTTCCGCATATACTCCGGCCACTCCTTACACAGTTCGGCCCCAGCAGTGCCTATACTCTACATATTCTCAATCTATGGTAATTGCTTGTGTTTATTTCTTCATTCCATATATACATGGTGGTGTGACATGCCGTATCGCAGGCTAATGGGAAAGTGATAGGACAAAAAGTAGAGTAATTAGACATCAAAAGAAGGATATCATAGCGAATACCGGACCCCCCTCTTTGTATTCATATCAGCGCCGGAAACTCACAGGATTGCCAACAAGCATAAAGTCTTGGGAGACATATCCACCAGAATCCATGCGCAGAACGCCCTTCTGGCCCTCCACTTCCAGAAGGATGAAGTCCTCCTGGGAGAAGATCTGCCGAACAGACCGGAACAACCGCCACATAGACATGCTCATTTTCTTGAAGGGAGCTTTAAAGAAGCTAACCTTCGCTTGCTCACCCTGAGCCACAGTGCGCTCTCCTGCAATACCAGGCGCATCCGGAATAGATTCCAAAAGCATATCCGGGGACGAATCTGGGGAGATCACCAAGCGACGGGAGAAGGCGATTTGGCGCGGCAAGGCGTCAAACTCGTAGGGTTTGCGGAACGGAACCACGCTTCGAACAGTGAAGCGAAGATGAGTGTGGCCGTTGACATTGACGGCCCTGATGGCGCGGATCAACCGGGTAGTCTTGAAAAGGAAAACCGTACCCATAACACTCATTGTAACGCAAATACCACCGAATAGAGCTTGCTGCCACATCGGGAGAGGTATAAGGGGATCCCGGAAGACGGCATTGGAATTGTATACAGCGTAGGCAAAACAGAAACCCGCAATACCGTAAGCGCCCAACACGTATCCGCGTTGCGATGGTGCCCGGAACAAGACAATCTCTCCTTCTTTGGCGACCTTTCTTTCGAGCTTTCCAAATCCTTCTGGCCGTCTTCCGGCAAATTTCAAGCTGTCTTCAGGCGCCGTGCGCACCACCTTGGGTTTAATCTGCTGGGTTTTGCTAGCGGCCTTGGTTCGCGAGGTGCTGGAGGAGAAGTACCTCCATGCTGGGCTGGAGGACTCAAGAACGGATGTGAGAGTGCTCCGGGGGCACTGCTGAGCGAATGTCCTTAAGGTAAACGGCCGGGCAAACATCTTGTCGACCTGGTATTTCCGATTGTTAGGATAGAGTATAAGTTGGAGCGCAGGCCACAAGGGCCCCCTGCCATCAAGGTTCACATATTCAGGTGTTGTTTGAATAGGAGTCAACGGCTGAAAGAGATAAAATGATCAGACTCACCAGGAAGCAACGGAATAAAGGCCAATGGCTTCGTGCAAGGGCAGGAGGTCGAGGCCGTCGTTCTCCGCGGCAGAAAAATGTTCCCGTCCGGGCCGCCGGTGAAGCTCCCAACAATAATCACCTCAACCTCCTCCGAGCTGACCCTTCCGATAGCGACGCAATTCTCCGGCTTGGAACGTCCTGCAACGCTCAGCTCGCAGATCGCGACAATAATCCGACTCTCTAGGGTTCACTGTGCTTTTTGTGCGGCCCCGTTAGCCTGGTGGTGGGTTCCTGTTCGATCCCATCAAATCTCCGCCCACTCCAAGCTCCAGCGCTCGCGATCCCGACGATAGCCACACCTCTCGGAAAAGGCATTCACTTGTCCTATACAAACACCAAAAGCCTCACGCATCAAACATGGCCTCCACCTTCTCTGTCTGCCGGCTTCCGGCCGCGCTTGCCCGCCGCCAATCCCGTGTTCTCAGCACTTCCAAGCGTGAGTTTCCCGCCAGAATACCACTTGATATCAACTTTCCCACATCACCATATCCCTCCCTTCCACGTCCACTCTCACCCATCAAATACCTCATGTTCAATACAGCTAACATGGCATTCACCCTATAGGCCTGAACTCCACCTCCGCCCCTCAAACCCAGAACCCCGCCTACCCTCTCTATCCCTCCGTCACCCAGCTCCTCCATGAAAAAGGCATCCCGGAGTCCGAAGTGTCCAAGATCCCCGCGTCCGGCCCTAAGGGCCGTCTCCTGAAGGGCGACGTTCTCGCCTACCTGGGCGCCATCCCCGCCGAGTACCCTTCTGAGCAAGCAGCCCGGCTCGCCAAGCTCGCCCACCTCGACCTGAGCAACATCAAGATCGCCGCGCCCGTCAAGCCCGCGGAGCCCGCCCCTGCCGTGGAAGAGAAGCCCGTTGCCCGTCCCCCGCCGACCACCTCCGTCGCCGTCTCCATCTCCCTGGCCGCCGTGCTGTCCGTTCAGAAGAAGATTAAAGAAACCCTGGGTACCACGGTGCCGCTGTCGACGTTCCTGGCCCGCGCTACCGACCTGGCAAACGACGACCTGCCCCGCTCTTCCCGCGAGACTCCTTCCGCTGATGAGCTCTTCGACGAGATCCTGGGTGCTCAACCCATCAAGTTTACCCGGGGGGAGTACATCCCTGAGTTGAATGCTGAGGAGGCCCGGCCGGTGCAGAAGAAGCAGAAGGTGGAGGATGATCTGATTGATTTCTTGGCCGGAAAGGTTTCCAAGAAGGCTGCTGCTACTGCTAAGAGCGTTGTTGAGCCGGCGGCGAACGTGTTCAGCTTGACTGTCCCGGTTGAGGAGGAGAAGAGGGCGAAGGTTTTCTTGGACCGCGTGAAGACCTTGTTGACTGTTGAACCTGGCAGGCTGGTTCTATAGATCTCCATTCCTTTTTTTCTTTTTTCATTCCCATTTCCTTGGTTATTTCCCCTTTCACTTTTTCGTGCTGTAAGTTATGCGCAGAAGACAGGAGACAAAATTTTGTCTCGTACCATCGTATCTCTTGGATTAGTTTCATTGGGCTGATGAACCGTTTCATATAAGTATAACATCAATCAAGAAGATAATGAAATAAACATTCAGTTGGAATTGAAAGTCCAAGTGATGGGCTACTACTGTTATAGACTGGGCCAACCTCTTCTCATTACTGTATATTATTGAAGTTGAAGACGGTAGAATCTACTACAATTATGTACTCAAGAGCTATACTATCGAACTAACCGCCCTAGATTTGCACCATCTTTTTTTTTTGTCTTTACCCTTCTCGTCTTTCATTCTCGTTATCTATGACATTAGGTCTTTTTCGGGTCCCCCCGCGAACAACACGTTCTCCATAGTAATCATTTCAAGCAAACCCTTCTCAAAGCTCTTGATGTGTTGTAAATCGTGTCGTCGTGAACACTGAACGCGGGGAGAGGTGTGTGTGTATGTGGTACATGCAACTCTGGAAGAGAAGTGTATAAGCCCAACGAATCGATCAATCAAGTCCATCCTTCTGACTCTGTAGGAGGATGGAGCAACGCCTTGGTCCTGGTTTTACCTGGTCACCCTGAGGAAAACACCATAAGCGCCACCGCTGAGATTCATTTCCACGGATAGTAGCGAAAACCTGCAGATAGTGAGTGCCTGCTGCAAAGACATGGGCTGGCACCAGTGCGAGGATAAAAATAAGAGTAGGCTGAAAAGGAACACGAGAGAAGAAAAGTAGAAGCAGAAACAGGCAGAGTCAGAGATACATGGAATGAGATCTTGCAGCCAGCAGAAAGAACCTAGTAAAAAGAAAAACGACGCAGAAAAGGAACCCTTTAATCACCCATGATATGCTGTTGTTTACCCCATGAGATGCGAAAAAATGCCCAAGCTAGACCCATTTGAAAGAAATAAAAAAAAGAGACCCTCTCCTCCAGACCGTCCATGGACAGAACCCAGCATCATAAGAAACGCCAAAGCCTTGGAAACGCCATATCTAATGCATATTGGTAATTCCAACGAGAAGTTCAAGGACGCCATGGCACCGAATCAGTTCGAAATGAACAGCAACCTTCCCGTCAGCGTATGGTACCCCATTCTGCTAGCTTGCTACCTTCACGCCCGTGCTCTCTGCCCGGTCGTTTATTGAAGATCTTCCAGAACCGCAGGGTCTCATCTCCAGCCCCGGTGACAACTGTTTGGCCATCAGGACTCATGGCCAAGTACAGTACTCGGAATGTATGGCCGGTTAGAGAGACAATCTGCTCCATACGAGGGTACTTCCAGATGACGATTTGGTTCTGGCTGTAGCCGTGCGTGCTGATGATCTCATCTGAATTCTTCGACCACGCCAAATTACAGACCTGACTGCCTGTGTCGACTTCTTTGATCAAGGAACCCGTCGACGTGTTCCAGAACTTGATGGTTCGATCAGCTGTACCACCACCAGATGCGAGGAGGTGATGCTGGTGTGGAGACCAAGTGATTGCCTTGACGGCCGCAGTATGGTCGGAAAAGCGGTAAAGCGGTGTTTCGTTGAGCTTGTCCCAGACCAGCAGTTTGTTGTCGTTCCCGCCAGAGGCTAATTGACCATCTTCTGTGTTCCAACGGAGACCACATACCTCTTGCTTATGACCAGATAAGCGACGCAGGTATTGATCCGGGGACCGGACGTCTCGATGGAAGATCAGTCGGTCTCGAGAGCCGGACGTGAGGATATGATCGTTCCAAGCCAACGCTCCTACACGATTCGTATGTCCAATCATCGTACGGAGACGCCGACAGCGCTCAGCATCCCATATTTGTACAAGACCCTTGCCTGTGCCTATTGAAAGATGTGTTCCCTAGTCCCATTAGCACTTCTGTCCAACATGATGACCAATATCTGGGCACTCACCCTTTGTATCCAGCTAACACTTGTGACTGTATCATCTCGTAGCTCACAGAGTTTCGTCACGCGGCCTGTCTGGGAGTTCCACATGTACACCGAGTTTCCTAGGCCCACTCCAAGAACGTTGCTGCTGCCCCAATCGACTAAGTTGAGATAGAAATCATCTTGCAGATCGGGCGCATCAAGGACCTTGTAGGGTACCTTGTTCACATAGCGAGGCTGTTTCCGGGGCGTCTCCAGAATACGTTGGCTGTCGAGGCGGATTGGTGATAGACTATAGAGCTCTGAACGGACATTGAGGTTCGGACCGTGCTGACTTCGCGGAGTCTTTGAAGGTGTGGGGTGAGCTGAGCCAGCACGTGGGGAAGCGTAGTTGAAAAGGTTTTTGTGGGGCGTCGATGGTGTTATGCTGGCAGGTGGTAGGTTCGAGACTACATGTGAAGGTGGCGTATGTGAGCGGGTCTTGTCGTTAATGCCATTACCCATACCCAACAACGGGTCCGGTGATAGGGAATCCAAATCGGCCTGTGGAACAGTATTCCCAAACAGTTCACTTCGCAAAACTCGCGAGTACATGCGATTTGCTTCTTCGGCTACACTGGGGTTAGCGACGGTGATCGGCAACGCCAGAATCACGGCAGATGCGACTCACTCTTTTGAAAGTGAAGCTCCGAATGTGGAGCACGCTTTTTCGACTTTGACGGTGTCGAAGGGCAGCCGTCCTCATGAAGCAAGCTGAACGTTGCTTGAAGGTCTTGGCCCTCACGATTGGGAATAAACCTGGAGGTAGGATCCACAGTTTAGTGACATGATGTCAAGGGACATAGGTCCATGGTCATGACCGATGAATCGCTCTCAAAGAGCACCATTGAATGTTTTACTGACCTATCACCGTACACTCTCTGCCTCTTCCTGCTGGGACTGGTACCCGGTGTTCTCTCGCGGGGACGCCCAGCATCCTCAAAATCCTTCAGAGCCTTCGCAAGGGCGTCTGGATCGATTGGCCCAGAGGTAGTTCGAGAATTCTGGCGCCTGCCTTGCGGCTCCGGGTAAAATAAGGTCTTCTTCGACGGCATACTAGGGGGCGTCCTGGAGCCAGGAGGTGATGCGATCGTCAACGCATTTGGACCGGTACGATCCGGCGACTTGACGGCTGGTGCGCCTGCAGCAGCATTGCGGGTGGTCGGCCGATCTGATTTCTTGGGGTCGCCCATGATTGTCGGAGGGGCGAACCTCACGAGGTGCAAATGGCGGTCGAATGCGGGATCAACTGAGGGCAGGGTCAATGCGACAGGTCTCAAACGTCGTCGGGTCGCAAGTGGCGGCAGACTGGGAGGGGAAGAAAAGCTGGGGTAGATCGTATTCAATATATGGGCGAATATAGTGTTGTCTTTCAGGTCAATCGGCAGCTCGGGGTTGTAGACGGTGGTGAATGCAGAGGTTGCTGATGACAACAGCCAAACCCTTGGGTTCCGCTCCGATCAATACACCAAATAAACTAGGAGCAAGCGGGCACAGGAGCGAACAGAGAGTGACGACAGAGTGTCTCTCACCAGACCCGAGGCAGACAAGGAAGAAACGCACAGCTTGTGGAGGTCATTTGATACTGACCTGACCACCGTCTGGTGAGGGAGGAAGGATTGAGACAGTTGATCCAAGGGTTGGCGATGGGCTTCCTCTCTTGCTCGGCCGTTCGAAGGGGAGCCCCAGCAGCGGTCACGCGTCGGTTGCGCTAAACCGCTTTGGGCAACGCAGGAGGTTGGTGTTATTCTATACTTGCCCTCCTGCGAAGAGACAATGATGAGTTTATCGTTTATTACAAAGAAGTTTATAGCCTTGATCACCATTGTCTTGACATATCTGACTTTAATCAGGCGTCCCTCTCTAGAATAGTGGTGGGTGGGTGGTCTCATCCGACTGATCTTCGTCAGGTGTTGTTGTCGCATGGGAGGATTTGTTTATCTGCACCCGCTGGATCGCCTGTACCTCCAGATGCACGTCCGTGTCTGATCGATGGTGACCCTCCCATCACAAGCAGACAGGTCCTTTTTGTGAAATTGACCATTCACTCAGGCTAGATTATCAGACGTGAAACAATCTTTAACCAATCCGATCAAATTGCCCGTGCTACAGGAGGCGTGCCATGGACTAACGCGAAGCGCCGTCGTGGTGATTGGGCCAGCGCGCTCTACTCCGTTGTTATCGATTGTCGCAGCGCCACGAGCACTACCGCGACCGCCTCTCATTCCACGCGCCTGGTGAACGCGACAGCAAAAGCTTGGGCCATACACAGCTGGAAAGGAGACTTTCCAGCCAAAGAAATCCAATTTGAGATCCCTCCCGGTTCCCGTCTGCGTCGATCACAGTACAGCATTAGTTTAGCATAACGGCTTGACTCGTGGCGTGGATTTCCAGGGTATACTGGCGATCAACCGTCCGTACCGGATTTTCATCTAGCTTAGAGGCTCAACGGTCGACTATTTCCAGTTGCTTTTTTTCAATTTTATTTGTTCCATTTCCGATGGCACAGCGTTTCACGTTGACAAACACTAACGCCCAGTCTCAGACTGCTATTTCTCATTGCTATGCTTTGGGTTTCATGCTACAACTGTGTCTTGGAAAACACATGACGAGCACCTATATGGACAGGGCGCGACCGTGTTTGTTTCAGTTTCCAGCCAAGGGAGACAGAAAGACAAGTTTAGACTCTAAGGAGAACAATATGAATTAGATTGGAACTTCTGAAAACCTTAGGAATGCTTACAGACGGACGACTTGTAGATAATGAGGTCATTTATTGGTTCTTATTTGTTTGACTCTGAATCCATGACACCACCATTCAATGTCTGCCCATACATTATTGGAAAGTCTACGCCAACCCAACTAATCTTCTGTTTATCTATCTAGCAGCACTTTTAGTGGTATTGCGAATCAAATAAGCGATATCAGTAGATTCCGTAGTCCACGCCTCCACTGTTATCTACTAGATCGATGAAGCCATGCGGACACGCCAACTGACCGCCTTGCTATGATCTCATGCCCACTTTTCCCCTCCCCGTGATCCCCATGTTTCTTTATCCACATCTCCTGGGGACCTTCGAGACAAGATGACTTCCAAAATTGCCCAAAGTTTGAAGCAGCCGGCTCTGGACTTTCTGTCCTTTGTCAATGCTTCTCCTACCCGTAATTACATCACCTTCTATACTATCTTAAGGTAGTCGAGTACTAACTTTGCTGTAGCGTTCCATGCCGTCCAGTCTGCAAAGGAACTTCTTGCCAAGGCTGGCTTCCAGGAGATCAAGGTATGCGATAGCTGCATTGTATCACGGAATTAACCGCTAATTCCCGGTGTAGGAGAAGGACTCTTGGGCGTCGACCTGCCGGCCTGGTGGAAAGTACTACTTGACCCGTAACCAGTCCACCATAATCGCTTTTGCTGTCGGCAAGAAATGGAAGGTATGGCTTCTGCCGATTGTCAATGATCTAACCCTGTGCTAATTATACCAATTGTTTAGCCTGGTAATCCCATTTCAATGATCGGTGCTCACACCGATTCTCCCGTCCTGAGAGTCAAGCCTGTCAGCAACAAACGCGGGGAAGGATACGTTCAAGTGGGCGTGGAGACCTATGGAGGCGGCATCTGGCACACCTGTCCGTGGTACCTGAACTACTTTTACTATATGCAGCGCTAACATCCTTTAGGGTTCGACCGCGATCTGGGTGTTGCAGGTCGGGCTATGGTCCGCAATGGCGACGGTTCAATTGTGCAGAAGCTGATCAAGATTGACCGACCCAGTAAGTTCGTTCGGCCTTTGTACAACCGGCATTTTCTGACCATGCATAGTTCTCCGCATTCCCACTCTGGCCATCCATCTTGACCGCCAAGAGACCTTTGCCTTCAACAAGGAAACTCAGCTGTTCCCCATCGCTGGTCTTGTCGCTGCTGAGCTGAACCGTACCGGTGCCTCCGAGGAGACTGACAAAGCGGCTAAGGAAGCCAACGAGGATAAGGGTGACTTGTCTCCTCTGAAGGCTATCACCGAGCGTCACCATCCTTATCTGGTTGAGCTCATTGCTGCCGAGGCCGGTGTCAAGCCCCTCGATGTCCTTGACTTCGAGATGATCCTGTTCGATACCCAGAAGTCGAACCTGGGTGGACTGTTGGAGGAGTTCATCTTCTCGCCTCGCCTGGACAACTTGAACAGCTCCTTCTGTGCCACCGTCGGCTTGATCGACTCCGTGGCTGATTCCTCGGCGTTGGACGAGGAACCTGCTATCCGCCTCATTGCACTGTTTGACCACGAAGAAATCGGAAGCCGCACTGCTCAGGGTGCCGACTCGAACATCCTCCCCTCCGTCATTCGTCGCTTGTCCGTTCTCCCGTCGACGGCCGGCGATAGTGACGACATTGCCACTGCGTACGAGCAGACCCTGTCTACGTCTTTCCTTGTGTCTGCCGATATGGCCCATGGAGTCCACCCGAACTACACGGCCAAGTACGAGAACGACCACCGGCCCCAAATCAACAAGGGCCCTGTTATCAAGATCAACGCTAATGCCCGCTACGCGACCAACTCGCCCGGTATTGTTCTTCTTCAGGAAGTTGCTCGCAAGGCTGGTGAAGATGTTGGCGAAAAGGTTCCCCTGCAGCTATTTGTTGTCCGCAATGACTCCAGCTGCGGTAGCACCATTGGCCCGATGCTGTCTGCGGCGCTTGGCGCTCGGACATTGGACTTGGGTAACCCCCAGCTGAGCATGCACAGTATCCGTGAGACGGGAGGTACCTTCGATGTGGCACACTCGATCCGTCTGTTCACTGGATTTTTCAAGCACTACGCCAACCTTTCCAAGACCATCTTTGTTGATTAAATAGATAAGTCTACGGGGTAGGTGAAGATTATATAGGAAGCATGAGGATATCTATGCTGCATCATTCGGGAATAATACGTGAAAATAAGCAAACAACCTTATCTCCATAGTTAGATCGCCATAGTAAGAGATTATCATTGGTGAGACGTAAATAGTCCAACCCCGGATGTTGCCAGATGCAGCGCTCCGGGCCGAGAAAAGTCCGCAGCCACCTGATCCACATCATCGGCCATCATCGTTGCCGGTGACGCTCCACCTCCAACTCCCTCCGTCTCTCCACCTGAAACACCACCCTAACTACTCCATCTTCCCCCCAGCACCTCAACCCCCCGGTCTGCAGTGGCACCCCTAGACCTTTCCCCCCTCGCTCAATAACCCCCCTGACGCCATCCATGCCCCCATGACCCTCTATGACCACTCCGGACGTCTATCGAGATGCGGAATACATCGCTGACGTGTCCGGCATCATCGACCCTTATGGCGGCGCCAGCGCCAACTCCACCAGCCGCACCGAGCGCCTGAGAAAGGTGCAGACGGCCGCGAAAGTCGCGTTCATTGACCGACTTCTCCGCGACCTAGATATCCTTATTTACTGTGAGCTTTCAGCGTTGTATTATATGGAGTGAGCAGAAATCCACCCCCCGCCCCCGCAACTCCGCACGAGCGCGGACCCCATAAAGTATAATCTATCAAGCGATAAGTCACAACTAACAATACATGTTCTTCAGCTGCTCGATAATTCTCTTCGCCCTCCGCGCCATAATCCAACTCATCTTCTTCACACCCAAAGCACCCCCCTTCGACCCTACGAGAAACCAACCCTTCGTCGGCGCTATCCTGGGTAGTAACCTCTTCTGCATGATCTTTCATAGATTCTTCACTAGACCCGAAGCCAGCGAATCGACGCGCGGATACCTGCATGGTGGGATCTTGATTGATTTTATTGGACAGAAAACGCCTATCCCGTTCGCTAGACTTCTTTTCCTGGATTGCCTCATTTTGTTTCTGGATCTGGTCATGTTGGGGTTGATCGTTGAGCGGGTAAAGACAGTAGAGGTTACTGCAAGTACGCCGGTTGAGACCACGCCCGAGGGGGAGGAAGAGCGACAGGATCACGATCTGGAGGAGAGGGGGTTGCGAGGGAGTGGGCCTTCTACGAGATCGTCGACGCGGACATTGGAGGATGATGAAGATGGGGAGACGATTGAGTTGGGTGAGATGGAGAGGACGCAGTTGTTGGCTGATCCGGAGGAGGGAGGGAGGAATGCACAGCACGCCCATCCTATGGATACGTTTGTGTCAGGTCAGGCAGTGATCATGGATATGGGATTGGTTGACCTTGTTCGTGATCAGTGGCGGCACAGCCCTGCGACAGCGCGGCGGACGACACCGTACGTGCCCTCTGATCAGACCGCGGCGTTCTTGAGAGAGCGGTTTGGCATTCGAGTTGGCGCAGATGGGCGCATGGAGCGGATCGGAACGGAGGCGTGATATTGTTGAGGTTGACTGTAATGTAATGATTTAGATGAGTCAACATTTGTACATATACCAATGCTTATATGACGGATACAGGATACCGAATAGTTATCATATCATATATTGCAACCATAACATAAGTTCATCACGCGATACTGATACACATTTACCCATCTCAAACCAACAAACAAAACCATATAAATAGAACTAAATAACAAGGGGTATACCACAACATCACGGCATCGCCTCACCCCCCTCCCCACCAGGCGCCGCCCTCCTATCTAAAATCTCATCCACAATCCCCATATCCAGCGCCTCCTTCGCGCCCATGAAATAATCCCTCTCCATCAACTTCTCAATCTCATCCAACGTCATCTCCTTCTTTCCCGTCAAATGCCTCTTATAAATCTTATTCAACTGGCTCCGCACCCTCAATATCTCCTTCGCATGGATGGCAATATCACTCGCTTGACCAAAATACCCTCCCGACGGCTGATGCATCATGATAGAGCTATGCGGCAAGCAGAACCGCTTGCCCGGGTGTCCACCACAGAGCAGCAACGAACCCATCGAGGCGGCTTGGCCCACGCAGATTGTGCTCACGGGGGAGGCGATGTAAGTCATTGTGTCGTAGATGGCGAGGCCGGCGGTCACGGAGCCTCCGGGGGAGTTGATGTAGAGGTGGATGGGCTTTTGCGGGTTGTCGGCTTCGAGGAAGAGGAGTTGGGCGACGATGCTGGCGGACATGGTCTCGTCGACTTCGCCGTTCAGGCAAATGATTCGTTCCTATAGGTTATGAGTATAGAATGGGGTGGAAGGTGGGTGGGTGGGTGTATGTACCTTGAGGAGACGAGAGAAGATGTCGTCTGTGATGGGAGTGTAGTTGGTTAATTAGTTGCGGTAAGGTACGGGGGTTGCTGCTGTAAACGTACATGTGTGCCATCCTCCTCCCTGATTTCTGTTAGTATACCCTCACCTATGCATATACTATAAGAAAGAATGTGCAGACTTACCACGGTCTCAGTAACAAACGGCGTCGGCGTCCACCCCCGCGGAGACCGGGCACCTGATAGCGTCGGAACAGAGCTGGCGAAGCTGCGCGACAGCGCCGGCTTGACAGTCTGACGGCCAACAACGCGAGCTAATCGCTGAAGAGGACGTGTTGTGTTCATTATGTGCAGCAATATACCCCAATGGTGAAGAGCGATGGTAGAAAGGAGGGGGGGAAGAGAGATTTGATGAAGATGATGCGTTGGAGATCTGGTCCGCCGGCGGAGCTCCAGATCCCGCCGAAGCTTAGCGCGTCCGACATCGTCTCTCCGCCGCCGCCGCCGCCTTTTTTCCCGATTTCTTAACTATATTCCCTTTTCTCACCACCCACATGCCATGGCGTGTCTCAACGGCCGGGTCTCATACGCTTCCTGGCGTTTGAGGATATTCCGGCAGCTTTTCCAGCCGAATGGCTCCCCTGAGGTGGGATATCGTGCTATATCGACCAACAATGGTGCACGGGAACCTCGTTCGGCGGCCTCCGCGGACAAGACATTGAAGTCTACCCCGACAGAAGAAGCAGAAGCTGCTGCTTCTGAAGACAAGAAAGGATTAGGCCGACCTCCACGCCCCTCCGAACTCCTCCCTCAATCCCCCCTCCTCACCAACCCCCGCCCCGGCCACGACAAGCTACACAAGAAGAAACGCCGCCCCGACCCCAACGAATCCGACATCCACCTGAACCCCTGGGCGCAGGCCCTCGCCTCGCCTCTCCGAGCCTGCAAAGTAACCGGCGCGCGAGTCCCGCGCGCATTTATGAGCGAATGGGGGTTTGTACAACGTCCGGACGTTGAAGACAAGCTCTGGTTGTTACCCGTGGGACTTATGAAGGACAAACTATATCCCTCTTCCACAAATCCTCCCCAAGAAGAACACACCAAAAACGACGACATTGACAAGACCGACGCCAACAAGAAAACCCGCCACCTAACCCTCCGCATAGTCGACCGCCTCCCCCTCCTCCGCACCCTAACCTCAACCTACTGGAGCACCAAAACCAACCGTAAGCGCGAACCGCTCGCCAAACTCCTCCCCCACCGCTGGAAACACCCACTCGGCCCCGTAACAAGCTGGGAGGAATCGCAGCTCTCCCTGCGAGAAGACACACCCACTTTCACTCTGAAAATGATGCGCCAAGACGTGGTCCAGAAACTCAAAGCGGCGTCCGACCCACCCAACACGCAGCCCGAAGCGAAGCGCCGAGTGTGGACAGTTCTGCCGGTTAGTAAGTACGGACGAGCTTACTTAGCGCGCCGGACGTGGTCTATGGAGCCGTTCGAGCGGATGGAGTGTTGCGGGGTGTTGGTGATGAATCGGCGGAGGGGGAAGCCCGGGAGAGTTACGGGGTTGTGGCCGCGGATGCCGGAGATCGTGTGTATATCGAAGGAGAAGAAGGTGGCACCGGTGTTTGATTTGACGGTGATGTTGGGAGAGGAGGAGTTGGAGGAATTGAGGGAGTATTGTCCGAGACTTTTTGGGAAGACGGCGGTGGTGTTGAGGCCGGATAATAAGGCGACGGTGGAGGCGATGTTGGCGCTTTGGAGGTTGAGGGGGTTTGTTAGGAGTGATGGGGTGTTGGAACCGCCGAAGGTGAAGGTTAGGTTGAGGAGTAAGTGGAGGAGTAATTATCTTCTATACTTCGTCTCCCTATGTATGTATGTATGTACGTCTATCACAGCTAACTATACCCTCTACCCGCACCACAATCCATCTATGGAATCTACTGATCAACAACCAACAAATCCGCCAACCGATCCAAATAAACAGCGGGCCTAATATCCCCCTCCACAAACTCCTCCTTACTACTAACCCCCGTCAGCACGCCCAACGTACCCCCCAATCTTCCCTCAATCCCAAACCGAATATCAGTATTCGCCCGATCCCCCACCATACAAGCCCTACTCCTATCAAACCGAAACTTGCCTTCAATTGCATCCATCATGGCCTGATTCGGCTTCCCCAATGACGTCGGCTCCTTCCCCAACATCATAATCAGCGGCGCGCTCATACTACCCGCTCCAGGAAACAACGTGCCCGAGTTCGGCAACGTCGAGTCGATATTCGTGGCCAGGAACACCGCGCCCCGGCGGATATAGTGGTACGCAAGTGCCAGCTTGAAGTAGTTGATGTGGAAGTCCAGACCGACGAGGACGACGCCGACCTCCGGGTCGAGGAGCGTGGAGGAGTCGCCCTTCGCGATGTCCTTGTAGTCTTCGGGGGTGATATCGCGGCGGTAGGCCGGGTCGGTGCCGCCGATGAAGGGGACGTTCTCCGAGGCGAGTTCTTGTTCGATGCCGGTTTCGCCGATTACAAAGACTTTGCGCTTGTTGGGCGGGAGGGAGAGGATGCGTGAGATGTAGATTGAGGCGCTGTAGGAGGAGGAGAAGATCTCTTCCTGTTTGTTCGTTAATAATGGGGTTAGATGTGGGATGAGACCGGATACTGGGCGGAGGGGATTGACGTACGGTGTTGCTGGGGATTCCTAGTGCTGTGAGCTTCTTGTTGTAGTCAGCGCGCGATTTGGTGCTGTTGTTGGTTACGAAGACGACTTGTTTGCCTAGATGCTTATTAGCGTTTTTTCCCTCAGATAACATCGGCATGTAAGGGAGGCATACCCTTTCTCCGCAGCATCTCCAGAGTCTCGTTGGTGCCGGGGAAGAGGTGGTCGCCGGACCAGAGGACGCCTGCATTCGCATCACGTCAGTATGTATGTATAGCCAGTCGGGAGAGCGCGGAGGCGCATAGGTATGCGACGGACCATCACAGTCGAAGAGGAAGACCTGATGTCATTGTCAGCCAATCTTTAGATCGTATGCTTCCGAGTATGCTATCCAGTCAGTAGGAAGTCATGGTATGACTCACATCGAACTTGTCGAGGAATTCCTGGATGCCCGCAGCGTCGCCGGTCAAATAGCGGGGTGTATGCGTCGACGCGGGGTATTCCGAGGAGGGAGCGGAAGTCGCCATGTTGGCTGTCTATCGTATGCGGTCTATCGTGAAAGGGATAGTAAAGCTGGAAATTTCCAGTTCCAACGAGCAAATGCAAGGAATGACAGAATTGCTTGCCAGGCAGACGAATGACTGGAGCGGCGTACAGCAATCCGGATCTCGGTGAGAACAGCGAGCGGGCCGCACGTGAGGGGCCGAGGGCGGATATCGCAGCCCTACGAATGAACTACATTGTAGTTGTTATAGCATCTGATGCATGTCTAGAAGTTCAAAAGTCGTAGGGACGCTTTTAGCTCGTTCATTAATATATCATACAGTCGTAAAATTTCAAATCCTCTCCGAGCAAATAATTAATCGAATGGAGCAGCACGTCTGCTGTTTCCACTGGTAGCGGCCGCTACTGTATGTTCAGTTCACTGCCACTGTGGACGACGTCGCATATTCCGCGGTTTTTTTTCTGCATCCTCTGATATCATCAGGATGCACGGCTTGCCGCCGGCTCTTCCACATCCTACCGGAGGTGTCGCAGCGGGAAGCACTGTTTATGAAGTAGAGTAGCCAGGAATCTCGGATTCTCTAACTTGATCTAAGCTCCTCCCAGGATGCCAGAGATCTTAAGGGCCACATCCAAGATAGACAGATGCTCGTCTGCACCATCAACCAGACGTCGATCCATATCCGAGAACACCATAACGATTTTGTTCTTCTGGATATCAGGGATCGCGTCGTTGAACACCACCCGTCGATACAACTACCCAAAGTTAGCATCAATACACTCCCACTTTATCCGATTACATACCTGTAAAAGAAGCTGCGTTGCACTCCACCCATCAGCAATGATATCCGTAACCACCTTCGCAACAGCCTCATACGAGGACCCGATCTTCTTCGGCTGCATCGCCTGCACCAACGCATCCAATACACTTTCCGGAACAACACCAGCAATCTCCTCAATTGTCCGAACAGTAATCACCTCCGACTCCTGGTCTGTCATCTCCTCGTCCTCGTCCTCGTCCTTCTTCCCAGCCCGGCCAGCCCCGACAAGCTTAGCCGCACTCTGCATATACGTAATCGCCCGTCGCATATCACCCTCACTGCAAGCAATCAACTTATCCACAACTCCATCCTCCAACCTTAGATTCTCCACCTTGGCAATATGTTCCAATCTCTCTCCAGCGGCCGTGTTATCCAAAGCCTTGAATCGAAACTTGCTGCATCGACTCGCCAGCGGCTCAATGATTCGCGTGACGTAGTTGCAAACTAAGCAGAAACGGGTAATCCGACTATACTGCTCCATCGTGCGACGCAACGCAGACTGCGCATCCTGCGTCATGCTGTCCGCCTCATCGAGAATAATAATCTTAAATGGCGGGCACGGGTATTGTGCCAAGTATTCCTCACCCAACCCCGTAGAGTGTGTGAGTTGAGCACGGGCAAAGTTCTTAATCTTTTCACGCACGATACCGATACCTCGTTCGTCGGAGGCGTTCAGTTCCAGAATGCGCGAGCGGTAGAGGGAAGGTCCGAAGAGGGATTTGGCGAGGGCGAGAATGGTGGATGTTTTTCCGGTACCTGGGGGTCCGTAGAAGAGCATGTGGGGGAGCTGGGTACTCGTTAGCAGGTTGTCGTTTCTTCTGGTTGACGATAGAATTCATTTCGTACGTTGGAAGCTTGGAGTGTTCGTTGAAGGACTTTGGTTGTGTGATCTTGGGCGGCGACATCATCGAGGGTCTTGGGACGGCTATGTGGCTGTCAGTTTGAGTGCTATACTGTCTGGTCTAGTAGTTGGCATACTATTTCTCAACCCATGGTTGTTGCTTTGCTTGTTCTTCCTTGTTATCTGTGGGCTTCGGCTTCGAAGGGTTCGCTGCTGCCGCAGCAGCGCGGGCCTTGTTGTTGAAGAAATTGGCAGCCATGGCTTAGAGAGCGAGTACCAGACTTCAGCACTGCGATTAAATGATCAATGGTGTAGCGGAAGCTGCTGTCGGAGCTCTGGCACACGGGCGGAAAGCGTGTCGGGACGCGTCTCCACGTGATACGCGATGGCGCCAAGCCATTTATTGTTCGCTTGAGGCCGAGGCAGTGATCTACTATCTACGGAGTCATCTAAATTTACAAAGGCAATTGAACTCGCTGTAAGAAGCTAATGAGCAGGTACGCTTCTGCGCTTGGCAGTTCTCGTCACACATTACTTTCTGTCTATAGTTCGTCCTTCTGCTGTGGTACATCCGTAGCCTCGAACATCCTCTTCTTAGGGTTCCGGGGCAACTCCGCCTGCCTTTGCCTTTCCTCTTCTGAGATGTCGTCAATGTTGGTCTCCTCTTGCTCCTCGCTTTCTTCCACCATTTTGCCGATCTCATCAATTAAGCGGTCCTCCTCTGCCTCATCCGTAACTGGAACTTGATCCCAGACCGCTTCGCCCTCAGCACTTTGGATGTTCGGCTCCACCTTCTGCTCAACCATTGGGGTCTCTTGCGGCACATATTCGAGCATCGTACTAGGTTCAGAAGACTGAACAGCCTTACTGGTAATCCCGACGGCGCCCAAAATAGCAAACGTGAACCTCGCGAACAGCCTGAGAGGCAGCCAGACGAGCCACCACAGGGGACCATATAATATCCGCCGGAAGACAAGCCAAATAATGGTGCCAACCAATATGTAGAAAGCCGTCTCAAGGTACCAAGTATCCGACTTTTGCGAGCGTAGCAAAGACCCGATGAGATTGCGTGACGACGAAATCAAAGAATCGAGATCTGTATAGGATTCTGACAGCGAGGACAGCGCAGCAGTCGATTGATCTAAACCACCAATGTTAGCCATTACCCTGACCTGCACCCAAGGTAAACCAGCACAAACCTAACGTCTCCTGCGCAAACTGACTCCGCGACAGCTCCGCCTGCATCAACTGATGCGTCCGTCTCAGCGCAGCCGTAACATCATTCGAAGCATTCATGACAATATCATCCTGCGTCAGCTTCTCACTCGACTGCTTCTTCCTCTCCGCACTTTGTGACCTCGTAAACAGTAGCTCTCGCTCTTTCCGTCGGGCAACTTCAGCGTTCCGCTTCGCTTGTAATTGTGCGTTCCGGAAGTCTCCTCTCGTTCTGCCAAAGCCGTAACATACCCATAAGTAAACAATCCAGGAAGAGCAATCAGTCGATTCCACCTACCTCTTCAAATCATCCGCCAACCGTCCAGCCAAGGCAATAACCCGTTCCCTCTCCGACTCCTTCTCATTATCCACACCCTTGCGCCGCGTATCCGCTGCAGCCTCCAGGGCCTCAACCTCGACCTTCAGCAACTCCAATTGCTCCTCCGCCTCTTTCAGTCGAGTATGGATCTCCGTCCCTAGTTCCAATCGCGGCTGATCGCCCTGTCCAACTGCAGTCGTAAAGCCCTTTAACCGAGAGACCAGCGGCTGGATGTGGGACAGAGCTGTTGAGAGCTCTTTCAAGCGGGCTTGTAGATCGGCGATGCTGGCCATTTTGCGTGTGCGATGATGTAGAAGTAGTAGTAGTAGTAGTAGATATCGCAGGAAAATACAATATTTATACAGAAACCGCCTCACTACAGCATCCACAGTTGACCAAAAACCCCCAAACAAATTAAGAGACCGAGATAGAAAAAGCAGGTGAGAAATCAAGAGGGGGAAAAGCGGAGATGGCCAATGTGTCCGCAACTTACTTTACAGCGTCATCGCTTTCCGAGCCCCGTTCCTGAGGCCGCCGCCGATCTACCACCTACCGTACCACACTGCATGTTTGCATATGAGACAAACACCCAGCGACCGACCGCGCTGCGCATCCGGAGAGCGGACGGATTTGAAGATAGTTGAAGTTATCCATACAGGGTGATTATTTTCTCCGCTCAATTCTCCAGAAATTATACGCCACACCACGCAATTACCTCAGTTACATAGCCAAGGTCAATTTCCTTGACTCAACACCACATATTACCTCTCTACACCTCCCAACATCCGCAAGGTACGTCTCCGAAAACGCATCTAAAGCCATCAACTAACAATAAAAAAAGACCGTCCAACCCTACAAACAACTACAACAAAAACCACCGCCAAAATGACCATCCCTCTTTCAACAATCTCCACCTTCCGCACCACTTTCAACCCTTTCCTCCGCTCCGCCCGCCCCTGCAGACTCATCCTCTCTCTCCTCCGCAATCCCACGACCACGCCCGCCTCCAGCCCCGGCCACATCGACATCAAGGTCACTCAGCTGCCGCGGTCGTCGACGCAAGAGCCCGAGCTGACGATAGGGTTCAAGAATGGCAAGGAGTTGAAGATCGAGGTTGGAAAGCGCCAGATGAAGATTGGGGATGTCGTTGAGGAGATTGCTCGTGTTGGGAGGGCTATTGAGCGTGAGGAGGCGCTGAAGTCTTAGATCTTTTTTCTTTACTGTTTTTGAGGGGGTTTGTTTGCATGAGCTGTGTGGTATGGTTTGCATCGGCATGAATGGGGTGAGGATTTTCCATCGTGGTGCGAAGGCTTTACTTGTCTGTCCTGTCTCTCCTGTCTTCTGGGAGTGGATGAAGGGCTGCGCAGTATGACTGGGGCTTTCAGGACCGAAAGGGTGACTATGTCGGTCTGGTCGTACTTTGTACTATCATGTTCTGTATGTGTATGTGTATATATTAGCCATTGAGTGATACTCCGTTTCTTATAGTGCTGGTTTCATATGCTGTGATAGGCAGTACTTTTTGGTAAGATTGCAATGCTTAAGAGCGCTTACATGTGAACTGAATCCGATAAATATACGTCTGATTACAACTACGACAAACAAAAGGTAAGATTGCACTTCTGTAAAGTTCCCTCTCGGGTATGTGGTATTGTGGTATTTAATTTTTGTTGTAAAGATACATTTAGACAGCGGCACCGGAGATGAAGAACCACTTGTCAACGCTGCCGTCAATGGGGGCGGGAGGAAGGTTCTCGCCCTTGGGGATGGCAGCAACCTGAGCGGCGTCAGCACGCTCGGCACCCTCAACCTGGGTGGTAGCACTAGACGCAATTAGTATATTCTCTACCCAAGTCAGGAAACAAGGATACTTACACGCTGATCTCGCCACGAGGAGACTTGCCGGAGATGAGCTTCTCCCAGGCGTCGGCGCACTCGCGGATGACATCGAGAGCGTACCTAGGGGTTGGACGTTAGCCCGGATACATAATATAAGGTACCGTCAACACATACTTCTTGTTCTTGCACTCGCCGGAGAAAGCGAACTGGTTCTCGGGCTTTCCGTCGGGGATCTTGTAGATACGGAACCACTCGTTGGTGGCGCGGAGGAGGCCAGGGAGGTGGCGCTCAACATCCTCAACGTCGTTAAGCTTGGGAGCCAGGGGGTCGTTGACGTCGATGACAATGACCTTCCAGTCGGTCTCCTCCTCGTCGAGAAGAGCCATCACACCAAGGACCTTAACCTGCTTGACCTGACCGGGGTAGCCGACGAGCTCACCGATCTCGCAAACGTCGAGCGGGTCGTTGTCACCCTTGGCCTTGGTCTCGGGGTGGACAGTGTTGGGGTCTTCCCAGGTCTATGTAGAGGGTCAGTGCGGGGTGGTACAAATTTTGACGTGGCACTCTTTTTACATACCTGGGGGAAGGCACCGTAGTTCCAGAGGTAACCCTTGTGGGGGAAGCAGTTGCGGACGTAGCGGAGCTTGCCCTTCTTCACATCCTGCTTGATGGGGTTGAGGAACTCCTCCTTGGAGATCTGGGTCGCAAAATCAGTATACCGACGTCAAGCTACAGCGTAGCCCCCACTTGCAAAGGGGGGTTTCGTTGTGTGTGTATTGTGGCGTCCGTACCTCCTGCTTGGCGTTGGTCCAGCGGGGGATCTCAACGACCATGTTGAGGATGGTCTGCTGCTCGTTGGCATAGAGGGGAATGTCGTGGAAGGGAGAGACGGGCTGGCCATCCTTCTCAATGTAAACACGGTGCTCCAGGGTGTTGGCCTGGCCGATCTTGCGGACGGTGTAGGACATGGTGGGCGATTGCGGCGGGGCAGCGGAGGTGGTAAAGTGTTTGGATAGAAGGGCAGCACGAGATGAAGCGGACGAAACCGAACGATCAACTCGAGAGGAGGAAGAGGGAGACAAAGCTGTAGCGGAAAGAGAAGGAGAGGAAGAAAGAAGA